TAATTGTTTAGTTGAGAGACTGGACAGTAAAAACTAACTGATGCCATCTTGTGGTAAGTAAAGAAAACACAAAAACCATCCGTGTTCTTTGTCACATCCTACATAATTGTCCACCAAACAGTCCCTTTTCCTTCTCTTGTCTATTCTCTCCCTCTCCATGCATGCTGTTTTGTTACAGTTTGAAGTCTACCTCAGCTCTGAAGAGATACTGGTACAGCTTAAAAACGTTACATTAAAACAATAATTTAAACAATCTCCAGAAAAATTAAAATCTGTAATACCTACTATGATCAAATTAAAATCAGAAGTGCAGATCAAACTGTTGAGTTTATGAAACTAGGTTAAGCTGCAGCTTGCTTCTGTGGGCCACTTCATCTCTGTGATAACCACTGCTTCTCTCAGTTTATATTCTCTGTGAAGACAGACAAGAGGTACGGGGTGAATCTATGATATGAAATTGCATTTAACACACAACAGTTAACTGGAAGAATATTTCAGACCTTTCTATGACCTGAACTGGCTGTTGTAAATGCCTTCTAAATAGCTGAATAGATGCCTGAGAATGAAAATACAAATTTTCTAAACAGGTTCCTGCATTTGAAAAAAATACTATACTCTTGCATCTTGCTTTCAAGAATTTTAAAACAGATTCTGACAGATCTTTAGGCTTCTGAAAGAAGTCTGAACACCCAGTGTTGCTTTTGTTCCTAGCATATGAAATTTCTACTCCCAATTTACCCATTAGACTCAATATTTTAATCATGCAGATGGAAACTGAATTTAAAAACCTTAATGTCTTGAGTAACTGCTACTATGTGCTACTCTCTGTATGTAGTCTTAGTACAATTATCATGGAGAAGGAAAGACAGAAAATATTTGTCAGGTTTTTTTTTCAAATTGAAGATTACAAAAATGCAGCCATGCTAAATAGTTTTGCATTCCTTTCTCTATGCTGAAAAGAAAAATCCCACATCTAAGATTGCTGAAAATAATAATGACATGAGATTCAGTGTAGCAAATAGTTGGATGACAAAAGTATGGATGATCATTGATAGATGATTATGAAAATGCAAGCATTATTTGTTGTGAAAATTTCTTAGTAAAACTCCTCATTTTTTAATTTAAACCAGCATTTGTAATTAAAAATGAATCAACATTTCACAGAACCATAGAGACCTTAGACTCAAAGTACCTTGAATGTCACCTGATCTAATTCTGTGCCCTAAGTCATGTTAAACTGTACCTTTAACATTTCTAACTAAAGTTTGTTTAACGGACCTAAGGAACTCCAGTGATAGAAACACTACAGTAACACCAAGACATCAGTTCCAGTTCCTTACAGTCGTTATTGTTGACCCATTTATCCCACATCCCTGCAGCAAACAGGCTATTCAGCTTGACTATATAAAACAGCTTTCCCCCTGCTTTTTAGCAAAAGACTTAACAAATGTGGGGATTTATATTTCTCTTAATTTTCCCTTTCCTGCAGCTGTTCAAATTTCTCATGTGGGTCATGCTGCCTGGTACTTTGAACATCTCTGTAGCTCTCAGCCACATTTCATCCACATGTCCCTGAAGCATGGTCCCAAAATGCCTGTCAATGCCCAAATAACTTAGTATTGTGCTATAGCAAGGAAAAATCATCTCATGATCTCAAAGCTTCTGCTTCTTTATATTGAACTTGTATTTTTACATTTTTTTCAACTATACAGCACTGCTCACATGGTCAGCTTTGCAAACCACTATGAACTCATGTAGTGTTCTAGGAAACTCTTGCCCAAGCGGTTGGCTCACATTCTGTAGTTGTGCAGTCACCAATTTCAGCCTACATACAGGCTTGTAAATTTGAAGTTAAAGGTTTTGTAGCTGGCTTTGGAATGTCATCTTTTTCAAATCAGTTCTCCAATAAATCAAGATTATTATGCATTATCACATGTTTCTCCTTTATACTACAAGATCTAGATTCTAGCTCAGTCACATGTAATTATGATGATCATAATATCTGCGAATAGAAGAGGGAGGGCATGAAGTAATTTTTAAAAGTTTACGCAAACTGAAATACGACATTTTCTTAGAAAATTACCTATTTTCCACCAAATTTCCAGGTGATGAAAAAGGAACCCTTGACTTGGAGGAGTATCTGCATAGAAATTTACAAAACTTCCTTCCTGAGAATTATTTCTACTCTTAATCTGAACCTTCTTTTTAGCAAGAGCAACCAGGAACTCTTTACCATTTCTTTACTTTCCCCAAATGGAGTCTTTTTTGTATTGTAGGATTTCACTTTAATGGTTCTGAGAAACTATGTATTTGCTCCCTAGAAACTGAAAACAGGATACTGTACTGTCAAAAGGGTAGATTCTGCAGCAAGTTTCTGGTGTATGTTTGAAAGAGACCTGTTTCATTATTTCCTCGTATTTGCTAATCTCACACACCACTACTGACTTTCAGCTGTATTTTGTAGGGCTGGAGTTTGTTTTTTTCAATATGTTGTATGTTTTTTCAACTTATGACATATCCAGCCTTAGCTACAGAGACTGTTCTTGAATTTGACTTTTAATTCAAAAACATAGACTAAGTTAAACTCCTTTGCTCTTTTTGCAGTAGGGTAGATTGAATTTGTACTGTTTTGTTTTCTCTTGTGTGTGTGTGTGTGTGTGTGTGTAAATTTAAATGGAAATTATTTCTTTGATATCTTTTAAGCCTGTAAGCTAGAGATGCACCTTTAAATTTTCCTAAAGGAAGCTGATGAGTTTGTGTCCATCCTGTTTTAGTCAAGCTTATGTTTAGTTAAAGTTGTATAGAGGAAAAAAGAGATTTAAAATAGCAAATATCCTCTATGAAGAAAAATAATCTGAAGACACCCTGGAACATTGTAGAGGTTTATTGATAATAATCAAAATGTCCTCCTAAGTGTGGTGTACTTAAAAATTAAGCATTAAGTTACACACACCTGAAGGCATTATGCCTGAAGGCATAATCAAGACCAAAACCAAAATGCTGGAATAATGCAGTGAATTGCTGACATCATTCAAGAAACAAAGAATTTTACACAAGGCCAAAACAATGGCATTGTATCCTGAGAGACATATGATAACCCTCAGCAGAAGAGAGGATCACATTTGTTCTGCTACTGCAGACAATGAACTTCACATAGAAGAGTAAATTACTTCATCTCCTGGTTGGGATAATCTGTGATAATATTTCAATGGGAAATCATCCTAGAAATTTTACAACTGTGCTCCTTTTTGTTGCTCTAACTTCACAAACACAGTCTGTACTTAATAAAAACAGTAGGTAAAATTCATGACTGATCTCTGTCTCCATCCACACAGTACCTTGTGTGAAAAATCGGGCAGCTGGAAAGTAGAAAGATGGCTGACATAAGCTTTCTTGCTAGTTTAGGAAGAATTTTATTATTATCAAATACTAAGATAGTGTTCTTGTAAGGTATTGTGAACTCACACATACTGTAGTCCTCAGGAAAAAAAACAAACAACAAAACCACAAAAAACACAAAAGAAACAATACATGAAAATTACATTGGTTATGCACTATATTTGATAATTTCCATATAATGAAAAGGTTTTGCTATTTACGTTACCATTTTATATAATGTTTTCATTTTTCCATTTTGAAGCATAAAGAAAGACTCCACATTAACAGTATCAAAAGGAAAAACAATTCTGAAGAGAAAATAATTCCGATTAAAGTCAGGAGTAAACTGAGGACTAGCTAGGTTTCACTGCCAAATCTCTTCTAGCAGAAATATGAAGCAGTGGTTAAATAATTTTTTTTGTTGTAATAAATACTCATTTTTGCTAGAATAGCTCTAAATCAATTTTGGCCTAAAAAAGCAAAATTCCATTAGGGATTTTTCCATTTTCTAGTGTAAAATGTGAAAAAAAAATACTTGCCCCGTTATTTTAGATACATAGAAATATGGCATAAAGAAAATTTCACCCCAGGTAAAGCAAAGAGGAGGGTTTGAATGCTAAAATAATTCCAGAAATGTAATGTGACCTGTTCCTTTTAATACATGTGCACATGCACACAAACAGACACAAAGTTTTGAAGATATTTTGCTTCTTGACAAACTTGTCTCTGTTCTCTAAATGGCATCAAGTAATTACTCCAGTTTATTGCAAATCTTTTGTCTAGGAAAAAAAATAAATAACTTCATTATTTACATCAGACAGAAATGTACCATTTTGCCCAAAAGATTGTTTCTCCTCTTAAAAAAAAACAGTTGTTTTTTTTTTTCCCCTTCCTGCTTCTGCTTTTGCTACAGAGTTACTGTAATCAAGATAAATTTCATTTCTGAATAATAAGAAAGTATCTTCACAGAGAAAAGTAGCCCGGCAATCCAGAAGACTCCTGAAGTGCCTCAATGATAATTTCTTATAACAAGAAATGGACAGCCCTCCCCAGGGGGATGCATTATTGGACCTGATCATCACAAATGCAAGTAAACGCATCAAGGATGTCAAAGCTGAAGGCAGACTGGACTGCAATGGTCATGCACTACTGCAGTTCGTTGTCCTAAGCGGTATAAGGCAGATGAGAAGAGTAGTCAGGACCCTAAACTTTAGAAAAGCAAACTTGCAGCTCTTCAAGGAGATAGTAAATAGGACTCAATTTCCAACAGGAAAATGGTCCTCAGGGACAAGGGACCAGAACAGAGTTGGCAGATCTTTAAGGATGCTTTGCATAGAGTGCAAGAGATCTCCATCCCCAGGTGTAAGAAATTCGGCAAGGAAGACATGAGACCAGCATGGCTGAGTCAAGACCTACTGGTCAAACTAACTACACAGGCAGTGAAAGAGAGAACAGGTATCCTGGGAAGACTACAGGGATATTGCCTGGTTGTGTAGGGACGAGGTCAGGAAGGCCAAGACGCAGCTGGAGCTGAACTTGGCAAGGGATGTAAAGAAAAAGCAAAAAGGGCTTTGACAGGTGTGTAAACCAGAAAAGGAGGGTTAAAGAAAGTGTACCCCCTGATGAGCAACAGTGGTGAACTAGTAACAACAGATGAGGAGAAGGCTGAGATTCTAGTGGCTTTCTACAGTGGAGTGTCCACTGATGGCATCAGTGGACAAAGGAAAACCTACATATGTCATCGATCTGGACCTCTGCAAGGCCTTCGACACGGTCACTCACAACATCCTCTCTCTAAATTGGAGAGATATGGGTTTGATGGATGGACTGGTCAGTGGATAAAGAATTGGCAGGATGGTTGCATCCAGAGAGTAGTGGTGAATGGCTTGATGTGCAGATGGAAAGCAGTGACAAGGAATGTCCCTCAGGGGTCCGCACTGGCACCAGTGCTGTTTGCTATCTCCATTAATGACATTGACAGTGGCATTGAGAGGACCTTCAGCAAGTTTGCTGATGACACCAAGCTGGACGGTGCAGTCGATATGCCAGAGGGATGTGATGCCATCCAGAGGGACCTGGACAAGGTGGAGAAGTTGGCCCAGTTGGCCCCTCATGAGGTTCAACAAGGCTGGGGCAACCAGAGATATCGATACAGGCTGGAGGAAGACATGCTAGAGAGCAGCCCTGTGGAAAAAGACCTGGGGTACTTGTGGATGAAAAGCTGGAAGCTGGACATGGGCCACCAATGTGCAAGTGCAGCCTAGAAGGCCAACTGTATCCTGAGCTTCATCAAGAAAAGCGTGGCCAGCAGATCAAGGGAGGTGGTTCTGCCCCTCTACTCTGCCCTGCTGAGACTACACCTGGAGTACTGCATCCAGCTCTGGAGCCGCCAGCAGAAGAATTAGGTGGACCTATTGAAATGTGTCCAGAGAAAAGGCCATGAAAATGATCAGAGGGCTGCAGCACCTCTCCTATGAAGACAGGCTGAGGGAGTCGGAGTTGTTCAGTCTGAAGAAGAGAGGACTGCAGGGGGATGTTATAGTGACCTTCCAGCACCTGAAAGAAGGCTAAGAAAGGCCTGTTCACAAGCATATATAATGACAGGATGAAGGGTAATGGTTTTAAGCTAGAGAAGGATAAATTTAGGTTGGACACTAGGAAAAAGTTTTTTAACATGAGGATGGTGGATCACTGGAACAGGTTGCCCAGAGAGGTGGTGGAGGCGCCATCCCTGGAGACATTCAAGGTCAGGCCTGATGGAGCTCTGAGCAATCTGGTCTAGTTGGAGATGCCCCTGCTTATTGTAAGGGGGTTGGACTAGATGATCTCTCAAGGTCCCTTCCAGCCCCTAAGTTTCTATATAATTCTGTGTGACAGAACTCAGAGGGTTGTGATCCATAGAGCAGGGTTGAGTTGGAGGGCAGTAGCCAGCAGTGTACCCCAGAGAACAGTAGTCAGCCCGCTCTTGTTAAGTATATTAATCAACTACATGGATGAGGGGACAGAGTGTATCATCAGCAAGTTTGCTGATGATACCAAACTGGGAGGGGTGGCTGACACTCCAGAGGTCTGTGCTGTCATCCCACATGTCCTGGACAGGCTGGGCAGAGAGGAACCTAATGAGCTCCAACAAGGGCAAGTGTAGGGTCCTGCACCTGGGAAGGAAGAATGCCATGCACCAATACAGATTTAGGGGTGGACCTGCTGGAAAACAGTTCTGAAGAGAAGGATCTGGGAGTTCTGTAAATTACCCATGAGCAGCAATGTGCCCTTGCCACCAAGGAAGCCAATGGAGTCCTGGGTTGCATAAGGATGAGTGGGACCAGTAGGTCAATAGAGTTCATTCTCCCTCACTACTCTGCCCTTGTGAGGACACAGCTGGAATACTGCATCCAGTTCTGGGCTCCCCAGTTCAAGAGAGACAGGGAACTACTAGAGAGAGTCCAGCAGAGAGAAAAAAAGATGACTGGGGGATTGGAACATCTCCCTTATGAGGAAAGGCTAAGAGAGCTGGGACTTTTTAGCCTGGAGAAGAGAAGGCTGAGGGGAGACCTTATTAATGCCTGTAAGTATCTAAAGGGTAGGTGCAAGGAGGATGGATCCAGACTCTATTCAGTAGTTCCCAGTGAAAGGAAAAGGGACAATGGGCACAAGCTGGAACATAAGAAGTTCCATTTAAATATGAGAAAATGTTTCTTTACTATGAGGGTGGCAAAGCACTGGAACAGGCTGCCCAGGGCAGTTGTGGAGTTTCCGTCTCTGGAGATATTGATATCCCTCCTGGATACAGTCCTGTGTAATGTGCTCTAGTCAATCCTGATTTAGTGGGGGAGTTGGACTAGGTCCCTTCATGCATCCAACAATTATTACTCCTAACAAGTAAATGTTAATTGTTTTTTAAGAATCAGAAATATGTCAAATATAAGCCTGGTATTTAGAATACATTTTCCTTGGCTTTCCTTTTTATATTGGCTCCCCAATATTTAAACTATGATATTTGCTAACTTCTGAGGTCCCAAATACAGAGTTAGGAGACACAAGCAAAATTCTCTATATCTCTTTAACCAGACTGTTCCAGCAAACTGAACAGGAAACTTCCCCAAAGGTGGTATTTCAGAGAATCATAGAAAGGTTTAGGTTGGAAGGGACATAAAAGATCATCTAGTTCCACACCCTTTCACTAGACCAGGTTGCTTAAAGCCCCATTGAACCTGGCCCTGAACACTTCCAGAGATGAGGCATACACAACCTCCCTGGGCAACCTATTCCAGTGTCTTACCACCCTCACACTAAGTAATTTCTTCCTAATGTCTAACCTAAATCTATCCTCTTCCAATTTAAATAAACCATTACCTCTTGTCTTCTCTCTAAATACCCTTGGAAAAAGTCCCTCCCTAGCTTTCCTGTAGGCCCCCTTCAGATGCTGGAAGGCTGTTACAAGGTCTCCCTGGAGCCTTCACTTCCCCAGGCTGAACAACACAATCTGTCTTAGCCTTTCTTCATAGGATGAGTGCTTCAGCCCTCCAACTCTCTTTGTGACCCTCCCTTGGACTTGCTCCAATGGTTCCATGTCTGTCTTATCTTTGGGGCTCCAGAACTGGACAAAATACTCCAGGTGTGGTCTCATGAGAGCAGTATAGTGGGGAAGAATCACCTCTCTTGACCTGCTGGCCATGCGTCTTTTCATTTTCTATTAGTTAGAATCTGTTACATAAATGTAATGCCTGAAGCACACTGGGAAACTAGCACATGAGCTCTAATTGCTGTGCTTTAGAATATGAAGAGAAATTATTTCAGAAACTTAGCCAAACACAGACTTCCACCTATGTTTCTTTAGAACCTTATCCTTGGTAACTAATGAGCCTTACCTCTGCTTTCAAGCCAACTGAACCCCAAAGAGATTTCTGAAAATAGGCATAGAATGTTGACACATGAGAAAATCAGTTATTAGACTATTGGTCACATAAACTCGCTAACAAACAAATTAGCAGCACCATTTAATTCTGAAGTAATACATTACAAATTAAAACTGTACACCTATATGAAGTTTCCTCTGTCTTGAGTTTGAGCCAGCTTATTGTTTGACTTGACAATGCCAGTGTCCAGAGTGTCAGAGGATACAAACCAAGATAGTGCTACTGAGATGCTCTATTACCCTAGCTTTACTATGGTTTACTGAATTTAAATCTTCGGATAATTGTTTTAACTGGACAGACTAACTTTTCAGCTGTCCCTGGCTGATTTCTTTGTTTAAGCTTGTCTTACAGGGGCACACAATGACAGCTAAACTGATCTCAGCTTTTCCACACCTGCTAGCAGAAACACAGCTTTAAAATATTTGTGCAGTGTGCACACAGTACATTTTTTGTAGTAATAGCCCATGCTTAGGCAAACTAATGGGGTAGTTTGTATGTATGAATAATTGTAAAGTAAACTGCAGCAGGGGTGACTGAGAGTCTCATAGCTTCTTTGTGTTTCCAGTAGAAATGGAAAGCTATAATGGTAACTGAATGCCTCTTTTTTCTTCCAGCATGAGTTCTGTTATAGAAGCACAGTTAGCACTAAGAATTAAATGTTGCCAGAAAGAGGTAATGCTAGAAACGCATAGTTGGAAGAACAAAATTCTTTCTCTCCAATGAAATCCTTTGTGTTTCTTGCTAATGAGCTCCTCTGTGTCCACCCACAATGCAGCTGAGGACTAGGCATGCATACAAGATTTTTTAGGGATTCTATTATGCAGGAGGTTTCAGTCCCACTGTTGATTCCACAGTGCAAGATAACTCCAGAAATAATATTTTTTAAAGCTGCATTCTTACTGTCAGTTGATATAACTCTTCTCTGCTTCTTCCCAACATAACCAATTACCCAGCTTCTAGCATTAAGGTAAGGGGAGCAAAATATACAACTGATTTCATTGTAGGCACAAAGTATGAAGCATAGTAATAAAAGAATTACGATAATACTGACTATCACAGTGGCAAGCAGACCTGATGTTCCAAAGAGGAGCTGCAATACTTTCTGAAGCTGGAGCCACCAACATTGCTGGAACTTTTAGCTATTGTGCAGGTCATTTTAAATGTTTGCCATTTTGGCAGTTCACCTGATTGTCAATAATACTTTGCCACAAG